TTGAGGTGTAGACATGATTTCTCTAAAACTTCATTGTGTTTTCCTCTCTCTGTAGTTAACAAAGCAAACACATTCATATTTTTATGGTTGTAAGGATACCAAATAGGTGGATTTTCAGGGAAATGATGTTCCTGCCAGGTTTACAGCAAACAGTGGCAAGAACGTTAGTTTTATTATAGGCTGTAAGAGGTCATTTGTTGGGTTAGAGCTCTAGGGCAAGTCTGCTAGTTCTGCTAGTTCAGTGTCTAATTTGGACATGGACTGGGATCTGATTAGGACTGAAACTAAATTATAAGCAAACAAAATTCCTAACAACTGAAAAACAATGGGTTTTGGCTAGCTTGACTGATAAATAATGATGAGGTCAAGTCAGCTTTATAGATTAATCTAGATTTCTTGGTGAAATGGGCTCATCTGAAAAATGCAAACAGTGCCAAATCCAAGGTCATGCAAAAAAAAAAAAAAAAAAAAAAAAAAAAAAAAAAGAGATGTAGGTTATTCCTGTGAGATGGGAAGGAATATCTTGGATTGCATATGATGGAAAGAATTTGGAGACACCAGAGATAAGAGAATGACTTGTTTAGACACTGTAGCTCTGAGGATAAACTTGACCTATGGATATTAAATGTTTCATTTGTGAACTGCTTTTAGTCTCCTGAGTGTAGTTTTGTTGCGTACATTTAAAAGTATGGGAAACAACAAGAGAAGTGCGGGGAAATAATGATTAATAAAACTTAGCAAGAAATGGAGGAAACTCAATCTCTTCAGTTTGTTCACGAAAAATAAAAACAATCTAGCATATTTCTGCACAGCAGTCTAGCAGCTATTTCTTTACAGGAAAAAAAGTTATAGTGAAAGCTAATGATTTTAGGTTCTTACTAAATAAATTTAAAGTGCTTACTAATAGAATAGAAATAATGTTCCTTAAAGATGTGGAGGAGCACTTATCACTTGAAGTAGTTAAGTTACTATTCTATGTATTGTGAATTCCCTACAAACTCTACTGGACAGTATGTACTGGGAAACTGTCTGAAATTCTCTGTCCTGTTCTTATTAGGAAAAATCATCGTAACATTCCCCTCTCACTTGAAAATCTGCATTTCTTGTAACCTAGTGCCTTTTCTTCATGGAGATCTCTGCCATTTCCTGAAATACTGGTGACATTCAGCATCTCCTACTTCCTCTTGTATTCTGAGGGCTAGTGAATAATACTGTAAATCCACAGGTGGAGCCTTAATTAGATGTACACTTAAAGGGAGAATTATCTGTGGACACATATATGACAAATCTGTATGGCAGCTGCTTTCAAAATCTTACCTGAATCCCTATCAGTGTTCAGTCTACATATAGAGGTCTGGGCTGCAGCCAACTGCATTCAGAGAGGAAATAATTACATTTACATATGCAAACAAAATCATCTCCAGTAACCTAGGTCTTGGAAGCAAGGTCACTGATTAAACTGATTACTTTTATCAAACTGTCCTTAGAAAAAAAGGGGGGGGGGGAGAGAGAGAGACAAAAAAAGGAGAGACAGAGAGAGAGCCGACTTATCTGGGCTTCCACGGCCTGCAGTCAATGCTGTATTTAGAAGCAGGGATTACAACGTTTGAGTGTGTTCTACCTGGCTGGTTTTGACTCTGATTCTAATTGCTCATGCTGTCTTCAGGGATAGTTTTCATAATATGAGGCACTGCTCAGCACAAGCAATAGTGACAAAATTGTACCTCTCAACAGCAAAGACAGCAAGGTGAATTACATGTAGCCCTCAGTGAATAAAACTTTGTCCTTTTTTTTAGTTATTATATTGACAAAAAGCTGAAATTGAAGCAAGGATTTAAAGGTTGGGATTTTGGGTTTGGTTTGGCTTTTTTTGACAGATTCTCCCATATTTCCAGGAGCTGCAAGATAAGAAACAAAAGAAACCCAGATTAGCAAGATGTGTTTATTAACAAACAAATAAACCAGTTTGGTTTTATATTACTGAGCACAGAGACCTTGAGCAGAGCAGTGGTTTCAGGCAGGTGACATTTTGATTTTTGTTTATCTGGTAAAGGTACAAAAATTCAAAAATATATTTCTTCAGAAATACCAGTAAATGATTTAATGTTAATAAAATATTATATTTTAGTATCTTCATGAAGTTATAACATCCTGTTGTGCTGTCCTTTATGCATTAGAGTTTCAGAGCTGAAAGCCACCCATATATTAAGCAGCCTGGCTCACAGCAAGGAGTTCAACTTGACATTTTGAAGAGCATGGATATTTCTATCTCTTGTTTTTTCAGCTTAATGCATGATAATTACACATTTTAAAGCATTTTTTGTTCCAATTTATTGCTTTCATTCCAAGTTATATTGCTCCCCAAGTCTCATATATTTTATGACAGTATAATTAATATATATATTTTTAAACTAGTTCCTCTGTGTAATCTCTGATGCATCTAGTGTTATTTCTTGGAATCTAATATAGATACATTAAAAAAAAATCCCCCTCAAGCTCTTGTTTATCTCTTGTTCTATACACACAGTAAGAAAAGATGTATCTATGATTCGTGAAAATTAGCACTATGCATACTTTACATTTTTCAAGTGCACTGCATACTTTAAAATATTCAGACTATGTACTTATAAACAATGTAGACCTGGGCTTCCTGAGTAACTTAGAATGTGAAAAATTCTAGTTCTCTCTCTACATGAACTTAATAGGGATTCTAGCTTTCTTAATTTGGGAACCTGAGCTCGTCTACGTAGCCAGCAGAATTAATCTCCTACTCTGTTTAAATTGGAGGTGCATGAAGCAACAAGCCTGTATGCTATTGCTGCTGATTTATTTGAGTCACATTCACAGTGATTTTATTCACAAACATTTGTACAAGGAAGACTTTATTCACAAGAATAGTAAAGGGAAGGGAATGAATCAGAAATACTAGAAAGAATGGATCTGTAGGGTATTCACAGTTAATAGAAGGAATCGTGGCTCTGTATTAATGCCTTTTTTTGCCTTTATCACAGGAGTCATCAAAAACTGTATATTCATGTATAATTCATTAACAAACAAGATATTTTTCCTGCTTATAATACAGAGGTCATCCATTCCTGGAGCAGAAATAATGCTATCTGATTCTGGTGATTAATCAAAGTGCACAAAGAGTAAATGGTAAATAATCATATTGACCAGTTATGAATAAATTCCACAGGAGGTTAAAAATGGTACATATGAGCTACTGCTAATAAACAAATGCAAAGATTTAATAGCCTGCTCAGGGATAATTTGCAGCATGACTAAATTCATCAAAACAGTTGTTCTCCAAAGTTAACAAAAGCAATAAATATTTATGTTTTAGTGTTCTACTGCAATGCTAGGGCAAGGAAAGTTTGTTCCTATAGTCAGCCCTCCACGGAGTTGGAGACATTTGTATCATATTGGCAACTATAAATGGAGGCTGTATACTTCCATTATTCAGAATATAGACTTGGGAAACCCCATGCAAAGAGCAGAATCCCAAAAAGATAGAATATAAATCAGCAAATACAAAACCAATTGTTGAATGTGCACAGTAACAACCAAGACCTGATTTCCTATGATTTTGTATCCTTCACAATCATGATCACTGCCACTACCCTCTGTCCTGTCAATGTACTCTTCCACAGTACTCTCTCCCTTTCTTCAGCTATCATAAATAATTCTCAGATCTTACCTCAATTACTGACACTCACTTCTCATTTATGATAATACCTAAGTTTTCCAAAATAAAATAAAACAAAATAAAATAAAATAAAATAAAATTAAAAAAAAAGCACTCAGGCAAAGCATAACACCTTGGTGATCCACCAAGCCAGCCCTTAGGAAAAATGACTGTATACTCATTTTTGGGTTTTTCAGAGAGCATAGTAATAGGCTCCTCTTTCCCATTTCATATCTTCATGAAATTTGTATGAGTTTAATATCTAGACATCTCTGTCAGACTTTGTTAATATCTGCAATTGGGCTCAAAAATTCAGTAGAAGAAAAGGAGTTAGGCAGAAAGAGAGGAAAATAACAGGCAAGCAGTAAGATGTTGGAAACTTTTTTTTTTTTTTCCAAAACTGTTCTAAAGTAGCTCCTGGTATACATAGATAAGTACAGAGCTCTACATATTTATTCAGATTCAAGAACACACACACAGTTTATGTGAAACAAAAGTTGTAATTGAAAGTAACCATTTTCCTAAGACAGATGATGTGCAGGATCTGTGGCAGGTCTCAGCAGGCAGGTGATTAGTGAGAAGAATGGAAAACCCACAGATATGCTGGTGGTAGCGAACTAAGAACCTCTCACTTAATCTTCAGACTGGGGGGAACTCAAAGTGGATGGCATATTTAGCTCTGATGGTTTTTTACTGCTTGGCAGCCAGGAGGCCCAGGAGAAACATCAGCAGCCCTGATTCCTGAGAGTGAGTGTGGATGCAACACATCTGTCAGGTTTTCCATCTCTGTGCTGAGGCATTCTTCAAAGCGGTCAGTTAGCTGCTTGCCTGTCTCTCTGTTATAAATATCTAGGCACTTCCTTAAGAAAAAAAGTATATATTACTGGAAATGTAAGCAAACCTTCACTCTGCGTGTAAGAAATCACATTCCTGATGGAAACTCTTGGCTAGTGGTCACATATAATATGCAGAGAACAGAGAGAATTTTTTAAACCTGAGATAATCATCTCTAAAAAATAAAAATAAAATTCCTCTGTATCATCCAGAATGCCACATGACTCCATCTTTTCTGATTGCTAGGTTACTTCACAGTTTTTTTGTTAATGACATCTCTTTTCTGTGTAAGTATATGGGAACTGCTGAGTCACGGCCTGAACCTCTGATTGATCACCTGAGGCAAGCAATGAGTCAGCCCTGGGAGCACAGGTGAAGGCAATTCACCTGTGCTGCTGGGAGGGGTGGAGCTCAGCTCTACCTCTCCTAGACCCCATTTAACGGCTGACTAGCAGTAGGGAAGTATCTCTTTTTGGAGATCCCTCCCTTTGGGATTTGCTAACAAGCCCAGGATAAGGGTAAGCCCTCTATCTATTCTTTGGTGTAGTAATCTGCTTAGCCAAACTCTCTTGTATGTTTCTTAATTATAACACTTGTTTTTTCATTGATTATGCAGTAAGCAAATTGCCTGGCAGTGTCAGTCATGGACCAAGATGTTTCCTGCTAATGTCTGTAAGGTCTGTATAAGCACAGGATGAGAAGATAGTCCTGTGCATTATTTAAAGTCTGAAGGGAAAAAAAAAATCCCTAAAGGCTAAGGAATATAAGATAACTCTAATGTTAGAAGGTGGTTGTTTTTTTTAGAATGTTTTAATTCAGCGTCTGTGTGCTTTTCCCTATTTCCTGTATTTCACTTTGGATTTGGTTAGCAGGCTGCTTTTGCTTTCATTTTTTAAATGTTTTTTTTTTTTTGTCTGGTTTGGTGTTGTTTTTTTAGTATTTGGGGGTTTAATACTCTGCAGTACTGCATTTATTTCCCTTTGTTTTACAGATACGTATTTACAATCACACTAAGTTTTAACAAAGAGCTGGGAGGCAGAGGTTTCCCAAAACCAGTATTTCCTCGTGGTTTGTGACTTGTAATTTCTATCCAATCCTAGACAATAACCATTTTCTGCCCAGGCGGAAATACTTAATATCTTCCATGCAAAGATACCACACTTTTGGAAGAGAATAGCTTATTTAGGAATTAATTTCCCACACAGAGGATTTGGTAAAAGCCCAGCTTACCTTCTCACACCGTGTCTTAAAAATACAAAGGCTCACTAGCTTCAGGGGGTGGTTCTGTTGCCAGCAAGGATTCTCCAGCAAGGATTGCAGTAAACGCTGCACTAATAAAGTGGATAGTTTGCTTCCCTCCCCCCCACCACTTTACATTTCCATCCTTGTGGCTTTTAAAGTAACTTCTCTCCAACATGCAAGGTGTTAATTTTTTGTGTATTCCAATTTCTCCACAGAACTGAGTGAAATGAAGTATGCAGGATGGATATTGTGTGATATATTCCACTGTTGATTTCCAGTGCAAGCAGTTACATTTGCTGATAACAAAATGCATTTATCTTCAGTGGCATTTTAGATTGCTCCACAACCTGCTGCGTATTCTAATGAAACCTGTATCGCTACCAATTAGACACCTGCAGAAGAAGTGGCTATGCAAATACCTTGCCCCCCAAATGCTATTTTCCTTCTCTCATTAAGCTTTCAAACTAAACTGTATCACAGTTAATGGCTGAAAACTTTCCCCTCAAATTTCAGTGTTGCATGGAATTTAGCCAAACATCTCCCACTGGTTTTAATTGGAGCTGTGTAACTGCAAGTCTCTGAAAATGGATTTTCCTCATTTCTCCTATGCCTAACCTAACCCTGCACCTGACCGTGTTCTTTTTCTTGCAGACATGCACAGAAATAACTCTCTTCTCTCCTCTGGCCCCCCATCCTCCCACTGTCCAATGCCTTGACGAAGTATTGTGGTGGGCTTGGCAAACTGCAGATTATTGTTATGCTTTTCATCACTGGAGGTCCTTGAGTTCAAATATGAGTAGATGTATGCTTAGCCAGTGAATGTTTGTTTACAGCAAGCATGACTTACAAGGTAGAGAATGAATAACAGATATCTCACTTAGGAGTTTATATTTCCATCGAGGTGTTCCAGTGATATTATAAACCATGAGAGAAAAGCAAAGATGATTTATAAGCTTGCCAAAAGTCCCAAGATAGAACTATATCTTCATAATTCACACTCACCAGTTTGTTTCATGTGAATCTCAGGACCTGTTTTAAGCTCTGCCTGGGATACATTTCCCATCTTGCTCTCACAACTGTTGCATTAACCTTTTATCTGCTCCTGGCTCCTGCTGTTTCTGCCCCATATTCCAATTTGTCTGGCTACTGCTCTAGTTGCTTTCATCTCCTTCTCCAGGGTGCTCTCTGCTGAATGCCTTGGCAGGAGCTGTAAGCATTACCCCATATCTTTTAATTACACATGCAAGCATATTTCTGAAAGCAAGCTGTGTGTTTGTAAGTCAAAATTGGATTCTGAGATGCCTAAACAGTTTGTGCTTACAAGTGAGGATAAAAACATGATCATCTCTGCGAATGTGGACAGCACAGATTTGGTAGTAGGCTTTAGATTCTTGTGTGCTTTTGGCCATATAGTTTTAAGCAAATTTTGAAGAAAAATTTCTCAAGAACAGCTAAACAGAAATTTAAAGCTGATTAATGAAGTTAGTAGAAGGGAAGCTATCAATTATTTTGCTGCACTTTGGGCTGGTGTCACTTAAACAAGATCCTTTTTACATGTCAGTAGATTTAATGTGCCATAGAAAAGCCATTAGTGATCTGAGGAAAGAACACATGGATCTCCAAGTTTGACAGTTGCAGCCACGAAAGTGAAAGCAAGTGGGTCACTTCATTTCTGTCTACCTGCATTTATAATAGAGGTTGAACATAGCTGTGTCCTATGCTTTTTTCTTGGATGATTTCAGTAGTGCCAGTTGTAAGAACACCTTTGGTTACTGTGAGGAGTCATTGTCTTATTTTCACGCTCATTGTTGCATGAAAATGAAATTGTCTAAAATAAAATTTGGTAAACATAGGTATTTCTGAAAGTTTTTTTTTTTTTAAAAAAAAAGAGGAGCTAATGATTTTTAGCTTTGCATTCAAATCCATGCTTGAGATTTTGCTTTTCATATTCTCACTGGTAAGTAATTGGTAAAAAGGAAAAAAAAAAACTTTCCAGTTCGAGAAGCATTTAAAATATAGAATGCTTGTATGAGAAGTTTGGGTAGAAGTATTAGTATGAAAGAAACATTGGCAATGTTGTCTTTCTAGCTATCTCTAAAATGGCAAGAAATTTGCACAGTAATGTTAACTGCAAATATTGCTTTTAGCACAGTTCAACATAGCTGGATATAAAGCAAGCATTTACAGTGTGAGCTTATCTTTATCACAGACACCCTGGCCCAAGGGGGAGGCTCTGTAAAAAGGAATGTCAAATGACTGCTTAGTGAATAAAGTTTGCTTCTATTCTCTGGATGGGTTTTTGGTATTTCTTCTGTTAGCATGCAGTAACACCTGTCTAGGTGACAGAAAACATTTGAGTTTTCTTTATTTGCTTTCTCTTACAAAACCTACAGTATAAAATTGTGCAATTATTTTGTGTCTTCAGATAATAAATGTTTTAGATACTGTAGGAAACCTTATTGCTAACCTGCTTACCTTGAATATTTCCTTGACAGCACATAAGATTCCTTTGAATCATAAACAGGCACTGTTGTCTATCTTAGAATGAAGTACTAGTTGTTATTGATTAAAGTATGTTTCTGTTGTTAATTCAAAATTGAGGAAGATATATATATTCCTTTTAATCTAGTTTTCTATGTAGTTTGCATGAAAAGATAAGAGGGGTTTGAAATATTAGTCTGGATTTCTATTTCTATAAGATTGATTGAAAATGTTTGTCCTCTTCAGTTCCATTCACAGAGAACTCGGGTAAAATGTCACAATCCTGGTCAAAAAAAAACAAGCACAATGAATGAAGAGTTTTCCTATACATAAAGATGGTCAGCACCCAGAACCCACTAAAACAAGTGAACTGCACTCCTTCGTACCAGCAGTTTCAGTTTCTTTCAGCTGTTAGCACAGGGTGATTCAAGTTCCTGTAAACTGCGACTCTACTAGTTACATTTTGTATTATTTGTTTGCTTGTTTTTTTTTTTTTTTTCTGAGTTTCTAGAGTTGATTCATCATTTCTATCATATGAACATGCTAATGAAAGATCTCAAAGCCAGTAGTTGAAAACAGTTCAATGACAACACTCAGATTTGTTAAACATTTGAAGGCGTGACACGTTCTACTCAAAGTTTGATAAACTACCAAAGGGAAACATTTAATTTTGTTAATTCTTTTAATCCTAATCCTTGTTTTCTGAGACACAGATTCAAGTTTGAAGTTGAAAGCCAACCCACATGCAAGGGGTCCTTGCTGGACCTTTTCTCTCACAGTCATTCAGTATTATTCTTAAGCCAATATCTGTTTCTTCTGTGAGAAACTGCAGAGAGCACCAATGGAGGGGAGTGCTTTCCAACCTTCTTCCCAAAATACTTAGTTAAAAGTTCTGCTGGTGTCCTTTTGGGCTACCTAGGATACCATGAACCTGTTAGCAGCCATCAGAATACTAGGACTTGTATGACCAATGATAAGAGATTGGCATGCTTGGATGGCTGTTCATTTTACTTACCTTAAAAATCTATCTATGACCCTTTGTGTGTTAACTGGCTGAGAAGGGAGCTGAGGAATAATCTAAAATCTGTCTGTTGGAAGGCCAAAATCAGGTGGACTGCACCCTAACCTTTGTTGGTGGGTTTATATAGCAACTGGAATTTGAGAAACACTTTGTGCTGACCCCATACAGCCAATGCTACTTTATCTTGTTTTGTTTTGTGGAAAAACTGAAGGATTGTTTTGACAATATGATATTGATCTGGATGAATCGCAACCAGTAAGTATTATAGGCTACTCAGTGGCTAGGTTATTAGAAAAATAAATTGGGAACTATCCTACTGGTAAATAGCCATTATTTACAGTGATGGGTAGAAAAGAATTGTATATGTGTCGTGTATCTTTCATTTGCAAATGCAAAGAGACCTTTTCTAATATTATAAATTTCATTTATTGATCAGAGACCATGATAAAGTGATTTATTTTGGAGTGCACTTTGTCTCAGCCCTTTCTTTTAAATTAAGAATCTATTTTACATTACATAACCCAGCATAATAACTATGTCCCCATTTGTGTGCAAGCAAGTCAGTTTTCTCTCTTCTGTTCCAACACAACTGACTTGGCAGCCCTCCTGATTAAGAGAAAAATAATCTATTTTTGTCTTTCTCTCACTGATCTTTGCATTCAGGTATGGTAAACTTATATTGTTTCCTATTAGGGCTTATGCTACAGGCAATTCTGACATTTGCATTTGCACATCATGTGCATTTTGAAATACAGAAGTGACAGCTTATCTCCTTGTTGAAAGCAGGTTTTTGTAATGGTATTGCCCTGAAGTTTCTTTGTTTGTTTTTTTTCTTTGCTTTGTTTCTGCTGAAAGATCTTGCAGTCTGCTGGGAAGATTTTCTTTGCATGTTATAGAAGGAAAAAAGCATAAGTCCCACAGAGGGACAGTAGTTGGTACAGAGCAAAACTGACTGACAGTGTGCTAGGCATTGATGAGAGATTCAAGCCTTTGAGTTCACAACAATAAAAATATACCAAGGTAGCCACCGATTCCCTGCAGGAGAATTTGCCCTTTCCAAACACACCTTCCGTGTTGTGTTAATGGAGGGATGACAGGGTTTGAAAATTCAACTGCTCATCCTTAAACAAAGTGAAAAAAGGTTGTGATGGAGAAATACACAGAATTCAGTACGCAAAAAGATGTTTCCAAACTGTGACATGTATAGCTCTGGTCTCCCTTGTAAATAGCAATAATGAAAAGCATCTGGCTATGTATGTGCATTTGCCTGTCTTGGTACTAGGCAAATGCCACCTCAGAGATAATGACACATGAACAGCTGACAGAATTAGAAGTGGATAGAGGAAAAGGGGTGAGTTTGGGTTTGTGGAAAGTAGAGAAAGAGTGGGAATACAGAAAATGACACTAGTACAAAGGAGAAAGAAAGATGTTAAGATAAAAAGATCCATAGGCATAACAATCTATGTGCTGTTATTTTCTTGAGGTTATTTTTAATGCAAAGCTGTCTAAAAATTCAATATCTGCAATGTAAAAGCTTGGAAGCTAGATCAATACAAATCACTGCTGTTCAGGTCTGCCTAAAATTCTCACTGAACGACAAGAAGAATCTGAACCTGAGCAGGATGTATTTCCTGCTTTGGCACAGTTATAGGGAAGTACCAGGGAACAGAATTAATAAGTGAGCACAGGGTTGAACTGGAAAAAAGAAGAACTTACTGAATGAACTGATGACAAATCTTATGATTATACTGTATCAAGAGTAAAATTGCATCTCGGTACTGCAGAAAGATGTTGAGGACAACACTGAGGTAAAGGGCAGCACAATATCTTGTGTGTCAGACTGTGTATTTCAAGCCCTTCCTCCTCTGTCAAGTGCATATGTACAGAGGAATTTTCTTCTCATTTCCAAACAAGAATGCAATTGTTATCTCAGAACTCAGTAACCTGACTGGCAGGTTCGGAAGCTCAGTTATACATTCCTTCCCTCCTCCCCC